TCATATAATTTGATAACTACGCTTTCCAGATGCTGTATCTCAGATACATTCTCAGCGTGGAATCAATCCTAGCAAAGATTTGTCAATAAATTAAAAAGGAAGACCTGAGGGCAAAATCGAGTATCAAGTCCCAGGGGTCTAAGAGCTTCCTGGTATAAAGCGGTAGGACTTGCCTAACAGTAGATGTACTTTTCATTCAAAAATTTTGTCTGTAGTAATCAGTGCTACCCTCAGCACAGTTACAGACTGTGTGACCCAAAGCCCATCCTGTTTGGGGCATTCTGTTTCAAAGTGTCCTATGTAGTAATAGACCAGTAAACATTAAGGTACGGCACAATGATCTGACTTTAAAAATCATTTTAATCTATTCCTTTTTATAGGTATGATACCCAAGGATGAATAAACCAAATATAGAATGTTCTATTAAAACTGAAATATTGTAACATGCAAGATTAATCGAAAACAAGACTTAGGCTAGCTTGGGCCTCTTTGCTACAAAAATATATGTAAGCATATTTTTAAACTTAGAGAAATAACAATCTAGAAGTGTTTTTGATGAAGAACAGCTCTCTCTGAACCTTGCCATCCATCTGAAGTCATGTTTATCGTTATGGTGTTGATTCCACACTCTTTGTTGGCAAGTGGTAGCGGTGCCTTGTCTCGCCTGGTGTCTACCGCCAGCCCTTTCTGGCTCCGGCTCACTCTCCACACTTCCAGAGTGATCTTTCTATTACGTAAATAAGTGACCAACTCATTACTTTGCCTGAAATCCTATAGTGACTCCCCACAGCTGACAGAGTAAACTCTACTCTCTTAGGAGGACCCATAAGACCTTCTGTAATTGGATTCCAACACTTCTCAAGCTTTACCTCTCGTATATTCCTCAAGCAAACCCAGTTTTGAATTATCTCGGCTCCCTAAACATGCCAGACCTCTCTATCCTCCACGCCTTCATTCTTGCTCTTCCCATGGCCTGGAACATATCTTTCCAAGGGGCATATTTGCTGTGAACCAAGAGAAGCTTGAATTTTGGGTCCCCTTACTTGTATGTCCCACCCACCCCCACCTCGAGGTCCTCCACCTAATTTTTTTCGAAAGGAAGGCCCTCTAAATGTACACATTTTAGGCTCCATAAACCTGGACCCACCCTTGCTCCTCCCCACTGCCACCTCTGCTTTCTCTCTCCTGCTTGGACTCATCTAGTTTAAGGGGTTGGTCTTCCAAGTCACGCTGTCCCCTCTTCTCTGTATGGATGGACGCACGCACACATGTGTGCACACATGCCTCACCTCAATGGCCTGTGCTCACTTCAAGGACAGCACTGTGACAAAGACTCTGTCTTGGACCAAACTCTAGCCAAGCTCCTCTGAGTCCATTTCTCTACTAGGTCTCAACCTTGGTCTATAAAGAAATATAGTCAAAAATACTGTAATAACTATATATGCTGTCAGATGGGTACTGGACTTATCGCTTGATCACTTTATAAGGTATATAAATGTCTAATTACTATGCTATGCACCTGAAACTAATATAATAGTGTATGTCAACTGTAATTGAGAAATAAAAAATTTTTAAAGAAAAAAAAAAAAAGACACTTAAGCACTAACATAGTTTCTAACAGCTCAAGGCTATATCCCTAGGGTATAGTTTCTAACAGCTCAAGGCTATATCCCAGGCCCCTTAAAGTGCCCGAGACAGCCTAAGGCTGCCAAAATATTTTACTGTTTGTTCTAACGAACGCCTGACAGCAAGCCCCAACTACCCTTTCTTACAGCATCTACTAAAAAGTGCTTTTAGTTGTGAATCCTTCCTCTATGCCTTTGGGATGTACAGATCTATAATTGTATCTATATCTTCTATAACTCAGGACCTGAGAACTAGTCCTTTAAACTGCAATCATCAGGAAGTCCAGCACCTGTCTCCCAGCCTCTGTGGGAGGACACAATCCTAACTTCGATGACTGTCAGCTAGCAGACACAGCTGACCTACTCAGCATTTACGCTGACCACTTCTGTCATTTCTCACTCCCCTGACTCTACGGAGCCCCCACAAACAACCCCACCCTACTCATTCATTCTCCCTATAGAATGCCCAGTGTCCTCCATACAAATCAAAGTTGAGTTCAGTTCACACTGGACCCTATTCCCATTGCAGCAGTTATGACTGATTAAATCGGTCCTTATCGCTTTTCTGTCCAGCTCTGTTTATCTTTGATAAATGAGCACTTTGGACAGCAGTATCTGCCTGTCTTTCTCCCTAGTCTCTCTAAAGGCAGGGACTGTGTCTTTAGCCTCCGATTTCTTCCACCTACTCAGTGCCTGGGTGTGCAGCAGAAACTCAGTCAATGTTTGAGGAATTAGTAAATCAGAGGAGACCCAGGAATGTGCCCTGTGCAAATAACTGCAGTGAAACAACAGAGATCAAAGACAAAGGACGAGGCTCTTGGGAAAATCTGAGATTTGAGGTTGGAAAAAATTTTAATTGTTGTTTTTATAAGTTTATGACTATATATATATTTTAAGGCATTTGTGGAACTGAGTAACTGGCAAATCTACCCGACAAGTTAATTCTGTGATGAGAGGCTAAATATACAAATGGACAAAAACCAGGCCATGCCTAAAAATAGAACTTTGACCCACAATCTGTAGCAAGCAGTCCAGGAAGCCAACCCGTTCCCCGCAGCAACCATTCTAGAGAGTCAAACTACTCTCTGCAGCAACCAGACCAGAGAGCCGACCAACCACCTCCATAACCATCAACCCAAAGAGCCAGGATTTGGTTAATAGCTGACAGTTCAGTTCACTTAACTTATGCATCCACTTCCAACGTAGGACCAACCAGAGAAAGCCAAATATGCACCCCTAACCAGTTACACAGGACACTCTGCCTACAGCTGCCCTACACTGACGGCCTCCATGGAAAGCACAGCTGACGACCTGTGACCTGCCTCCTTTTCACTAAAAAGCTTCATCACTTCCCTGTCTGCCCCTGAGTCTGCCCTATGTAAATGGTGGTGGCTGATCCTTGACAAAAGCTCTGAGAAAACAGCTCTTCCTTGTTCCCATTTGGGTGATCTTCATTTCCACGGTGATTCTTTGTTGAACGTCATTGAAAAATGTGTCCTGTTCTTTATACCTTGAAAAAGATCTTTTTACCTCAGAGATTCCTGTCACCAGGTCAAAACGAGAGAAACTGCTGAGAGGGAATGTTATGGGCTGCACTGCGTCTCCCCAAAATTCATAGGCGGAAGCCCCAGCCCTGGTACCTCAGAGTGTAACCTGCAAACAGGGTCATTGCAGACGTAATTAGTTAAGATGAGGTCACACTGGAGTAGGGTGGGACCCTCATCCAATCTGTCCTTATATAAAGGGGAGATATGGACACAGGCACCCACACAGAGGAATGCCACGTGAACGTGAAGGCAGATCGGGGTGACGCTTTTACGAGACAAGGAACACAAAAGATGGCCAGCAAATCACCAGCTCAGGGAGAAGCCTGAAGCAGGTTCTCCCTCCCAGCCTCAGAAGGAATCAACCCTGCCGAGACCTTGATCTCAGACTCCCAGCCTCCAGAATTGTGAGACGATAAATTTCTGTTGGTCTTAGCCACCTGGTTTTTGGTACTTTGTTACAGCAACCCTTGCAAATTACTACACAGAGTATGAGTTTTCGAAAAAAGGGCAATTTCAGCTTGAAACCGAGCGTAGCCTTGTGCTCAAGAGCTTGCAATGTACAGACCACAGACGTGGAAGCAGACAAAGAGGCAGAATGCGGTTCGCCGTGGAGCTTCCAGCCACAGGAGCGTGGGGCGGTTCCCCCTCCGTGACAGGACATGCAGGCAGCTTTCCTGCATCATCCCACAGCCCATCACGGCTCTCCACTCTCACATCACACAATACCCACCCAAGAACAAGTTAGGTGGTGGAGACTCTCCCTTGGGAGATGTCACCGGAGGTGATGGATGCCAGACTCAGGGCCACACACATTCTGTGCACTGTTCAAAGGCGCAGATCCCGCCCAGACTTACCTGTGTGAGGGGGAGGGGAATGCGGCCACTGGGGCCTCCCATGCAAGTCCTGGGGCAGCAGGAAGCTCTCTTCTAATAAACCCCTTGAATAAACCCACACAGCGCACGAGGCTGGGCACACACTGGTGGGGGGGGGGAGTGGGCACACATGCACACTTTCCTCCCCAGCCTGCTTCCTACGAGGCAGATTCCACCCCTGCCTGACTCTGAATGGCCCGGAGGAGGACATGGCATGTTTGAGATGCCAACACAGGGCATCCTGGGGTCCGGGGTGCACAGGAGAGTGGGTGGAGGGTAGGGATCAGGGGGCCAAGGCTACTTGTGCCCGCTGGGGTCAGGAAAGCCCTCCTAGGGTAGCTCAGGTTGTTCATAACTCACTCGGTTTTCCTTGAGGAATGGGCACCTTTGGAATTTGCATAGAAGCATCCCAAGGGCTGCTAAAACCTAAGAAAAAGAAAAGACACATAAGATGTAACGCTTGGCTTCCATCGCGGGCTTGCCTGGTACAAAACACACTTGCAGCGTAGCATATTTGCAGGTGTGTTGTTTGAACTGTACTGAAAAGAAGGGCTAAAGTTAAAACAACAACAACAACAACAACTGATTACAGACAATCAATCATGGAAGACCGATAAAGCGCCCACCGACGAAGGGAGCACAGCGCCAACGGCGACACCATCCAATGGACCGCAAAGGCGGAGTCATATGATTCCAGTGTGCGAAGAGGCCGTTCCTCTTCCCCACTAAAAATACAGAACCAAAAATGCAATGATCGTATATATGACATGTTCATTTCTATCAAGAAGGAACAGGAGCCAAAATGGTTCTATAAAGATAAGCAAATATCTATTTTCAATGGTTGAACAAATGGCTCCTCAAATTCTGCAATGTTGTACAAAAGCAATAT